TTCTGAGAGGCTGAGTATACCGACCAGTCAAGGGAAGAGTTAGGAGTGGGGCTACTGCAGTGAATGTGCTTGCCCTTGGGGCCTGGGGCACAAACCTGGTGGTGAAAAAGAGGCCCTTTGCTTGTGAACAGAAGTTATACTTGTACAGGGGAACCATGGCATTCAAAACGAGCTCTGGAGCTAAGTCCTGATGAGTGCTGGCTCGAAGGAAAAATGAAAAACCTGGATGTTATGGACAGAAGGGAATAACTCTTAGTTTCTGTATTTCCAATGCAGGGTTCACAGAACATACTCAGCTGGGAAGACTTATTTAGAATAATGACACCTGCCTCTCTCTCTGTGCAAGAGTTGCTCTCATTTGCTACAGGCCAGACTCTATGCAAAGGAATAGAAGCAAATTTGACATCAGAAATGACTGTACTTAGAAGCTAACAAAGAAACATGCCAGCTTTCCAGCACGGACTTTGAGGTTTGATTTGAATCAAGGAACTTCAAGGACAATGTGAAGGAACTGAACAAGAACTCATCAAGAGCTTCAACTTCATCTCTTACGGCTTGAATAGAAGTAAAGGTTTTTTTCACACTAATCAGAATGTCAGTGCACAGGGGCCTGTTGTTTTGTGAATGGCCCCGATAAGGCAATTACCATCACCTGTTCTTTTTGTATTTTAGAATGAGCTGTTTCGAATTCCAGCCCCATTGACAACCAGGTGCATATACCAAGAATAATACTTAATATATTGGATCCAGTGGACTAGTCTATGAACGCTCATGCCACAGTGAGCTGCAGAAAAAATAGACAGCAAGATATATTTACATTTAAAACTGCCATGTGATACTTTTGATTGGAGATTTTGTAGACACGATCCCTGAAAAGCAGATGGGACACCCAGCTTGATGCATCAGTAGCGAAGGAAATGTACTCTACACATGTTCAGAGTCACATTCCTATCTGAAAAATCCCAGGCAATGCTTCTATAGGAAGTGATTTTGTAGCTGTGAACTAGAGTGGGGTAGGAATGGCTGTGGATCATCCCTGGGAGTGACCAAAAGCATGAAAAGAAGCGTGAAAATGCACACGTGTCCCAAAGTGGTGGGCACTATGCATTTGAATAATAGAGACAATGCCGCTGTAGCTTCATCAAGTTCAAAATGCTGCCCTTGGCAATCTTCTGGCCCATTGCACACTATTTGATAACTCTTGATTTTTAGTGGTGCTTACTCCAAATTGTTCTCTCACCACTGGAGCTGCTGGGCAGGATTGGCCTATGCCAGGGCTAGGCAACCTGGGGCTCTCCAGATGTGGACAAAAACTCCCATCAGCCCCAGTCAGCATGATCAATGACCAGGAACAATGGGGATCTTATTCCCAAATAATCCAGCTGCTTATTCCTGGCCGGTATGTTTCTTCTGCCCATCTCACATAGGTTTGAGAAATCAATTTGACCTTTAATCACAAGGAGTATGATTGTGCTCACATGTTTGCCTACTATTTATTTTTAGCAAAGGAAGCATACGTTCTTCATGTTGCTAGCACTTTAGATCCATTTCTGTGTTTACGATGGGCTTATCTGGAATCATGAATACCCCATGATCAGAGAGATGTCATAAAAAATAATCTCCATGCTAATTAAAGGCTGGAGATGGAACAACGGGCTGCCATGCTGCTTGGAGGCAGTCTGGGGGCGGGTGGGGGGGGCGGTGCTGATGGGATTTCCAGTGCAGTGCAGTCTTCCAATTCACCTCATCTCATGCCAGCTGACATCTGCCATGCCTGAGAATTCAGAGCGAGTGACCTAAAACTTTCTTTTCGCAAGTGTGGACTGCCAAGAAATACCTTTTCAGCCTGCTCACTGGAACAACTGAAAACACATTTCCTGAAACCTAAGAAGTGTGCTGAGAGCCAGGCACTTTCTGCTTAAAATCTTCACTGCCACCAACTCAATAGGCTGCCATCATATACAGTAAAAGTGGGGAACCTGTGGCTAGTCTGATGTTGGACTGCAGTTTGCATCATTCCTGATGGGCACTGGAAGTTCAGAAATATCTGGAGGGAACTGGCTCCCCTCATGATACAAAGGCTGACAGTGCAATCCTATGATTGTTTACTCAAAGGATACGTTTAATAAAACTTACTCCCACAGAAGTGTTACAGGATTACAACTGAGGGCTGATCCATTGTGAACTGGAAGCCCAGCTGCAAATGTCCTAAATAAGCCAATTCCATCCCCCACTCCAAACACACACACACCACAATAGGGTGAGCCGCCCCGAGGCTTCAGCGAATGGGGCAGCATAGAAGCTCGCTAAATAAATAAATAATGCTCTCCTTCCCGTACTGTCATAAGCATTACTGAGATAATGGGATCTGGAAGTTCAGGCAGACTGGATTTGTCCCACAGATCTGCAGTTTGACACCTCTCATTTAGACTGAGCTGCATATCCGGAACATGTTAAATAAAGTATGTTGCTCTTGCATCTCAGATATAATCAACTGGAATCACAAAAGCTTTTAGTACAGGGCTAGTAATAATAATGAAAACCCAGCAACAGCCTGGGCTGAAGAGACGACTGCATGTATTCCAATCTTCTGATCTGTGTTCCAGTGGCTAATGTTGGAACTGGGGAGGCTGTACACATGCTTCAAACTTCGCCTCCATCCTAAATTCACTTGGCAGCCTGAGGCAAGTCAGTATTTCTCAGCCCCAGTTTATGAATCTACATAATGAGAGTCACAGGTTTACCTTACAGGCAAACAAGATTCTTGGAGATGGTGCTTCTACTTTTAGATGATCCAAGGCATGGCACCATGAAGTTACCATGTTGCTGCCTTCAAACTCGCTCACAGGATAAAGAGGCATCAGGTGTGGTGGCTCTGGGTGCAATGGTGTTTGGGTGCAACCTAGTTCCCCGACATTCACCAACTGGAGCCAAGTGTTTGCACACTGGCTCCATGCAGCAGGCAGACTTAAGTAAAGAAGGGTAAGGGGGACCTCTGAGCTCATGCCTAGTCAAGGAATTTGTTTTCATTTCTGGAACTGAGTTCTTAACCTTTTCACACTATCATCCTGTTTTCTACCAAACTTTTCTTTGTATCAGGAGAGTGTGTGGGACAGAGGGACAGAGGAGAGAGGGAGGACAGAAGTATGCTTAATAAGCTGGAAGTTAGAAGACTTTGCAGATCTATCCCAAGCCGATCAATAGATTTCAATATACCTTTGCCCTTGCTCAGTCTGTCCCATTTCCTATTGTTTGTTTGGCAGTGAGTGGGAGAGGCCATGGATAGAGAAAGATATGTGTGTGTGTGCGGGGGGGGGGGGGTGGAACAGAACAGTGGCTGGCTGTATCCTCAGCACTTGGAACACTATGTAGGCTGAATTTTAAAAATAAATGGGATCTTTGCTTCCATAATGCTGCTATAACCCAACTCCACCTCAGCCATCAACAGAGACATTATGCCCTTAACATATATACCACAGGCAGAAATTCAATCCAGAATGCTTTCCTTGGCTTACAAATGATGATTATATTTATACCCCACTTTTCTTCCTCTTGCCAAGACCCCAGGGTGGCTTATAAGTTCTACTTTATCCTCACAACAACGAAGACTCCATGACTGGCCCAAAACTCACTCAATGGAGACTAGAACTCAGGTCTCCCAGGTCCCAGTCTAGCTCTGTAACCACTACATTACACCGTGCAGTTTTCTGCTATTTTAGTCAGATCCAGTGAATGCTAAAACTTCATCTGCTTAGTTTTAGTTTGTTTTTTTCAGCTGCAAGAAGCCCTTGCTAGGACAAGGGGAGACAATGGAGCACAACTATCAGAGCTTCCTGCCCCCGACCTCTTCATTTCTGCACATTGTGGTGATAGGTGGCTGTACTGAATATACAATAGGTGAAATTTCTATTTGAGCTTTCTTTAAGATTTGACAGTGAAATTCAGATAGATCCAAACCAGTTTTGAATGGTGAAAAGTTCTAGACCCTCCAGTGTTACTGAAGGTTCATCTTCATTACAAGGCTGTCACTGGTGTTAAGACCCCTTTGTGATATAAGGTTTATTCACCAATATAAACAGGTGGAGCACATCAACATTCAACCAGTTTCCTGCTCCCCATCAGACCTTAATGGAACCCCTTTTATAGTGCCCTCAGACTTGCTGCAAAGTGCAAAGTCAATTCATTGCTCCCTTTTCCATCCCATTTCCAGTCCACTTATTAATTCACCTGCTTTCTTTGTTCCTGGCCCAGACGTAATGAGCACATTCCTGTGCTCATTGGGAAGGAACAATCTTCCTTCCCATTCACAGATCTAGTGCTGGTCAGCCTAAACTTAACCGACCAGTTTGTTTGACCCATTGTAGCCATTTCTTTTCACAACTGCAAATTTGCAGGTTTGGGAAGCAGGAAATTTGAGGAACACCAGAGACTGCCCATAGGCTTGGTCCAGCTAGCCCAGTGTTGCCATATTGACTGGCAGCGTTTCAGGGGGGACTTATTTTTTTCCCCTGGCCCTCCTTGGAGATCCCTTACCCAAGCATGCACTGGGTCACTGATCCAGGGCCCTGCAGTCCTTGGGGAAATGATTCAGAGATTAGTACACACAACCGCAGCAGATTCAGTACAATATTTTCTACGGCAGACTTATGCAATGTTCTTGTCCAATCTCCCGAAATCCTCCGTTATAATCGGGAGTACAGCGAGTTATGATGAGCAAAGAAAGCTCATAAGAAGACAGAGCGCTGACCTTCCCCTTACGGTCAAGTCCAGCCCGCGCTCGGGCGGCCGGTACGAGCTCTGCAGAACCTCTGGCGGCCGGCAGGTGTCGCTCCTGCAGCTGAGCAGCGCGGCGAGGGGGCGGCCAGCGCCAACCGAGCCGCCTGCGGTGCGCGTCTTTAGGGTGGCGTTTCGCCCTCCCGTATCCCTGAGATTGATTGTATATGCTAATTTGGAGGCGGGGCATAGGCAGGGTTGCTCTTCCTTTACGATAACCGCTCAGGTTGTACGGAGGTGCTGATCTCGGCGGCGCGTCAATTTCTGGCGGAGGTTCTTCAGGGACCCCCAAGATGTGACGAGAGCCCCAGTCTGGCCGGCTGGGTGGATTATTACGCTTTGTTTGGGTAGTCTTGCTCCTTAACCGAGTGAGCGGGTCCTCCTGGCGGAACATGCTTTAAGACTGTAAGTTTAATTTCGGCATATTTACTTTGGTAGCGTCTCTCGCTCTTTCTCTGCTTTGCGATTCCCAGCCTGGAATTGCTCTGTCTCCTCAGCCATCTCTCGGGGTTCTTGCTAGCGAATGCCCGGCTCCCTGAAAGCGACTTTCTGAGGCGGGGGCTGCCAGGGCCGCCGGGGTCCAAGAGGGGCAGCTCGGGTATGTGGAAGGAGCTGACGTGTCACGCTTCGAGCGAAGCGTGCCTACTTAGAAGTAAACGCAGCCGAGATCAATGGGGCTGACATGTGAGTAAATGACATCATTAGGACAACTCCCATTATTCCTAGCTAGCATCGCCACGCTGTCTGGGGATGATGGGGCCTGTAGTTGCACATCTGGAGCGAGCTAGGCAGAGGAGGGCTGTTCTAACCCTCCTTTTAACAGGCGCTGGCACATATATACCCAACCAGCACTGGCATGGACTTTCTGGAGTTCGGATGGCAAAAAGCAGAACCGCGAGTGTCAGATTATTTTGGGGAGTGGGGCGGAGAGGGAACCTATTTCCTGTTGAGAGATTTATGAGAGGGATGGAGAGCAAACAAGCAAGCAACCGGGGCAGCCCATCCACCGCTTGTAACCGCAAATATTTCTTGACACTTCTTTCCTTAAAAGCAACGGGAAAAAATCTTGTCGGCTGCATAAAGAAATGCTGCAGAAATTGCTCACAAGTGCTTTGCAATGTTTTAACTGATTCCAGGGAAGCAATAATGCTGCTTTGAGTTTAGGGGGTGGGGTGGGGTGGGGTGGGGTGATGTGCGCAGAAGGATTCCTCGCAGCAGCAAGAACGACCAGGCAGCGAGTGAGCATCCCGACGGATCTCTCTCGCACGGGTGTTCAGCGACTGGGGGCGGGCCGGGGCAGGGAAACAGGATTTGTGTGTGGGCTTCTGAACTGACATGCCCTACCCCGGACTTCCCCTAATTTCAGCCACGTTACGCCTCCCACAGCCTTTCAAAAAGCACGGGCTGGGAGGGGGGGCCGCTGAAGGGGGCCCCGCCCCTTTAATTTGAGCACCGCATGTGTGGAAGCCCGTCCCCGAATACACGTTATTTCATGCCGCTTTCCTTTATACAGCAGGGAAGGGGCATCCTAATCGTGCGAGGGACTGAAGAAACAGCTTGGAAGGGGGCGGGGAGGCGGGATTCCTTTGTCTGCTTCCTGCTTTCCTCTTTGTGCTTTCGCCGGACTGCCGATAGGAACAGCAGCAGCACTGCAGGGCGAGATCTCCGACTTGCTGCTCTCCGCGCACACACCCATATGCCTGAGGCTGAATTTTAATAGCTGTACTGCTCGGGATGCTTCTCTGTGGAGCATTGCAGGATTCAGCTCTTCGGGCTTAATTCTCTTTCCCTCATCCAAGGAATAATCTCTCTGCTTCCTCTGTCTTTTCTCCAACCTGGTGCCCGCCAGGTGTGTCAGGGTGCAACTTCCAGAACTGCCAGAATGGCCATTGACTGGGAGTTATAATTCCACACATCTGGAGGGCACCAGGTTGGGGAAGGCTGCTCTGCCACCTACCACCTGGCAAGGTGCTTTTGATTCTCCCGTTGCAAAGTTTCTCTCAGTGCCAGGCGAGGAAGGGGAAGCCCTTACTTGACCAAGGCATTGTGCATCATCCTTAGGAGAAGGAAAGCAGGTGTGGCCTTTGTTGGCACGGTTTTGTTTGTGTGGCAATTGACACATTTCCTCTGCCCTCTTTCTTTCTTTCTTTCTTTCTTTCTTTCTTTCTTTCTATTCTTCAGCTTCTATTGGTGGATCACTCTAACACTGCTTTTTTTCTCTTTGTCTGGTGATGAGTTGCACACAGGAAGAAAACAAATATCTCCCAAACTATAGTTGTCAGAGAAGCATGTGAAATGGTAGCATTGGCCAGAGCGAGGTAGAATGCAGTTCACCTTTTGCTCTGCAATGATCTCTATATAACTCAGGCTCCCTGTCAGCAATGTAGTGGTAGTGATACTGTCCTACCTTGCAGGGAGGTGGCACATATGTGGCTGCCGAAATGTTGTTGGCCTCTCACCAGCCACTCCATCAGCTGGGGCGGGCATGGCGAATGGTGAATGATACAGGGTTGTCATTCAGCAGCATCTGGGGAGGGCCACACTCTGCATCCATGTTGTAAGAAATGATGATGAAACTCAGGAGCAGAATACCTTTCTGTTTGGTTGCAGGCCATGTGCCTTTGGGGAAGACCTGTTTGAGGGGCTGAATGCTGGTGGTGAGTGGGGATGGCACAACCTGTGGGTCGGAGCCAGCTCTCCTCTCTCTTGCCATCCTCTTGTCCCATTCTCTTTATCTTGGCTCCAGCAGGCTATTGGGAAAAGGGATATTGCTCTCACCAGGGTCATTCGCAGAGGGCTTACCTCTACGACTTCCATCATTTTGTCAGTTTTGCCCCCACACACAATTAAAAAAAAAAATAGTGTTCTTTTCTCCTGGGCTCTTCCCACCCAGAAATGAAAATCCAAAGACCACATTCCTTTGGGCGGCAAATTTCCCACTCCTGTTGTAAGTGAACATATGAGCTATTAACAATACCTCTACTGAGAGCAGTATACAAGATACAAAGTCCAGGCAGATTATTGTACAATATATGGATTCTTCACAGACAGCACTTTTAATACTATATGTTTACAATCATTGAGTTCCTTTCTCCAAAAACGTTCACCTGGTGTCTCGCAAAAATTAAGGAGATATGTCTAGGATCCAGTTTTGAAGCTACCTAAAAGCAACTAATCCTAAATGCATGTGAGGAAGAAATAGTCCTCCCTAAGAAATTCAGCAGGAGGTGTGGCACCTTCCATCACTGGGGCAACCACAGCAAGTGCCTTGGTCCTGTTAGATGATGGTCCTACTGTCCTAGAAGACAGAACCTGGAGCAAAACGTCGTGGGCAGATCTGAAAAGTCCTTGTGTGCGCATGCAAGCGTGCATGCGTGGGACTGGCCGTATGATAAAAGGTTCCACCTGGGTCCTTACAGCCCTGATCATTTCGCACTTTATCCATTTTATTTTTTATGTAAAGCATTTCATTCTGCTTTTAAACCTAAAAAGGATTTCAGAGAATCTTAAATATCAAAAACAATCAATCTCATTCCTGCCTCCTAGATTACTGACTTGCAGGGTCTGGAAATGAACTAGTAACCTTACTGTGATTTTTCAGAACAGACATATTGCTGTCTGGACAGGCAGGGGACTATAGTTCATGCACGTTGCTGTAAACAGGGGCTACCCACAACAACATGCACATGGTAGGCATGTCATGAGTGGAGCTGGCTGGAGCTGGGGGTCAGACTAGATGGCCCTGGAGGTCCCTTCTGACTTGCTGTTTCTGTGTTTCTGTCTGGCTAACTGCATGTTTACAGGAGTCCACTAGGGCAGGAATGACACTGTCTTGAACAGCAGCTAGCTTCCCCTCCTCCTGTATCTAATGCATTTAATCTCTCACCAGTTTATGCTCAATTTTCAAGAATACTTTCTTCTCCTTTCTGCCCTGTTTTGGTACACAATGATAAAAGATTTACCTTGGCTGAGGTTCTGCAGCCCATGCTAGAGTCCCGATCAGGAACCGTCCCCCCAGATTTATTGATTGAATTTAAATAAGCAATTGCATTAGTGATATCTTTAAAATCAACTTGCAGGTTGATGCACCTGTTGGGTCTGCAAGTGAGAACATACTTTTGCTTCATCTCTTTTGTAGGAAATGCCCTTCTAGCCAAAGGTTAGTTCAATGGACCAGAGGGGGAAGAAGAATCACATACTGACATGCAAGGACTTCTTAATATGGGGGCACCCTAAGGCATTTTGTTGCCTGAGATCGGACCACTGAACCTTATTTCGGCACTGGCTATGAGCACACATTCTTCACCACACCTCACGGCAGCAGGCTAGTGTGAGGATTCATTACAGGCCGTGTTTGTGTGCTGCTCTGTTTTCGAACACCTTATTCTGTCTCTCAGTCACTGCTCTCCCTGGCGCCTGCTTGCTGTCTACAGAAACTACCAGCTGCAGCGTAGTGGTGGTGCCAGCACGTGTCCCATGTGCAGAGCAGCGATTCCTGCTGGTGTGCGGCTGCCCCTGTGGCAGCTTCCTTGGTCGGTGGCCTCCCCACGGCAGTATCCACAGCACGTGAGTGGAGGACAAATTCCCACTCAGGAACAAGCAGGCTTTAGCAGCACCGACACCCAACTCTGAAGAAGTTGGGAGGAGCTGGTCAGGAAGGGGAAGGCTGGCTTAAGGCATGAGAGAGACCACAGAGCCATTTGTATGTCTCAGGCAGAATGCTGTTCTCAGTGGATCTGAACAAATTAGGGCATAAGAGTTAGTTTCTGGCACAGAATTGCAAAGGAAAGATGTTGCCTGTACCTGAGTGATAAAAATAGCTGGTAATTCTGATGCTGGAGACGTCCACTAGGAAAACTTTCTGCAATACTGATTTAGAGGCATGATGCAAAATTGGATGGGTAGAAAGGCTTTGTGCTGGACTGGATGGAATAAGGGGTACATGACACAGGAGAAAGAGAATGAAATCTTTACCACAGTATGATCTCTCTGTTTGCCGTCCATTTGGAGGCTGGGGATTATGAGGGCAAAGACGTGGTCGGTGACTTAAAAATGCAGTCCCAGGGATGGTTTCATTTATAGACACTCTTCAGGAAAGTTGTTTCCTGGTTTGCCTTTTGCTACCTTCTTAAGTTCAGTTCACACAGACTTGTATGGGAAACAAGGAGGTATCCTGTTCACTTAATGTTTGGCCAGTTCAATGGTTACCCATAAATAAATACATCTATATACTTTTTCCCCTTTTTCTTGGCATAGAAAGTTGACTGTGCCCTGAAACCCAGTGAAAGCATGTGTCTCTCCTAAGGACAAGGGCCTTCAGTCTTTGGGGATCACCAGATGCATAAGGATTTTTGGAAATAAAAGAAGGAAACATAACTTTGCATTATAACCTGATATTCTTTTTT